AAGATGGAGCACTGCGTTGCTCACTCTTCACAGCCTTGGGAGAAGTTCTCCCCTCTGCCTGCACTGGGTCTGGACTCTGAGCCTCAGTAGCAGGTTCAACCTCTTCCTCTCCTTCATCAGCAGAGTCTAGCAGACTCTCTGACAGGATGTCAGGGTTCCCATGTATCCTTGCCCAGCCACTCTGCTCACAGAATTCAGCACTGTTGCTGAGCAGAATCCTGGACTGATTCCCTGACGGATACGCAAACCTCCACCCCTTGGTCCCTGGCTCATACCCACAAAAAATCATCTTCTGGGACCTGGGTTCACCTTTCTTGCGTTTGGCCTTTGGTATGAGGACCCAAGCCTCACAGCCAAAAACGCGGAAGTAGTGCACCTTCGGTTTCTTGCCATGAAGCAAGAAATACGGGGTGTCACCTACCACTGAATTGAACGACCTGTTCAGAATAAAGTTGGCCGTTCGCCAAGCCTCCCCCCAAAAGCGCTGTGGGAGCCCGGCATCAAACAAAAGAGCTGCGGACATCTCCCCTAGAGTCCTATTCCTGCGTTCCGCGATCCCAGTCTGTTGGGGACTGTGTGGAGACGGCAACCTGTGTTGAATCCCTTTTGCGGAAGAAACTTTGCAGTGCAGACCCGGTGAACTCCCCACCGCGATCGCTCTGAAAGTTTTGCACCCGTGTGGAAAACTGCAGTTCCACAGCCGCAATCCAGTCTTTGATTAGCGGCGCAGCTTCATCTTTGCGTTGAAGCAAGAACGTCCAAGAGTTCTGCGTATGGTCATCAATCAGAACCAGCGCAAATTTGGCTCCGCCCAAACTGCTCACAGAAAACAGTCCAGACAAATCTGCATGAATTAATTGAAAAGCCCTAGTGGTCACCCTCTCAGACCTAGGGTATGTGCACGTTTTCACCTTTGCGGACTTGCACGCTCTGCAATCTAGAAACTTAGCACATGATTTCATTTTGCACCCTTGCGTATACTCTGGGATCCTCACACTGACCCCCACGACACGTGTGACATGCGTCGGTGCCAGAGATGGGCACACGCATCATGAACTGGAACATTGGCACACTGCGCTTGAGCCTCCTCCGTGTCATCCGTGTCATCTGGACCTGCAAAAGAAGCATTTATCACAAACAACCTGTCTTTACATTCAACACTGACTAGGTGCTGTCCATTCTTGGAAATAGAACACTTATTGTTCTCAAAACACACTCTGTAGTTCTCAGCAAGAAGTGCACTGACAGACAGCAACGCGCAGGACAGTCCTGGAACAACAAAAGCCTGGATTGAGTCCTGCAAGAAAGAACAAAACAGTGAGCCACTCTGCGTGAGTGGGTGTCGAGTCCCATCTGCTAAACAGACAGTCTTCCCAGATTTTACAGAGGTGCAGTTCTCCAGGAATCCACCAGATGGCACGAGATGATGAGACGCTCCACTGTCTATTACAAAAGCCAGCTCAGCATCCTGTTGACAACTCTTGACTACAGCCATAGAGGCAGCCAAATGTTTACGTTCAGTGTCTCTGCCAGCTGCCTTCGGCTTGCCTTTCCCACGCTTTGAAGAAGAGCTCTTTATCTGGTTGCTACGGGAGACGGCCTTCGGCTGTTCCTCCACTGGACATTCTCTCACCAGATGGGAGGGGGAGCCACAGCGATAACAGCGGCGAGAAGCAAAAGCTCTCACAGTCTCCCCTCCGGCTCTTCCTGTATTCCCTGCACCCCCACTCCTGGGAGCACAGCCTGGGCCTGGAGCTTTCCCCCCAGCTCTCTGTCTGCGGGATTCTTCGTCGCAGAGGCGGCCCGCCACGTAATCCAGATTTAATTGGTCCGCAGGCATCGCTTCCAAGGTCAGACACAACGTCTCATAGCTCCTGTCCAATGAGCTCAAAAGAATGTACACTTTGAGCTCCTCAGAGAGAGGGACCTGTAGCTGCCGGAGCCTGTTGAACGCTGCCAGCATCTGGGTTATATGCTCCTGCATTGACCCCCCCGGCTGAAGCTTCAACTCAAAAAGGCTCCTAGTAGTATGGATCTTGGCCCCAGCCGTCGTTCTCTGGTGGACACGCTCCAAAGCGTCCCAGACGGCTTTTGCAGTGGTCAGACCATCAACATGAGGGAGCTGGGATGAATCCAGGGCAAGGATTAAAAGCCCATAAGTCCTCTGGTCCCTTCTCTGTGCTGTAGCTGCCCGCACTCTGGCTGCCTCATCAGCACCAGCAGCTGCTGGGGTAGGTTCACATTGAACACAGTCCCACAGGCCTTTCCCTGTGAGCCACGCCCGTGCTCTTCTTGACCAGTCCTCCCAATTTTGCTGATTTAATCTTTCAAAGGGGACGTTGAAACTCTCCTGGAGTTCTGCCATCTCCTCCCCCGGTCCCCCCTTGGGGCTTTGGAGTACTCACGCGTACCAACCGGCTCCGAGGATAGGCCTCCGGCGTCCCTTTGCAGCACACAGCTTTGCAGCCAGCTTCCCTGCTTTTCTCCCAGGCGAAGCCTCAAAGCAGGACTTTTGCCCTCCGGCAGCAAAAACAACAGCTTCTCAGTTTCCAGCCTTCTTAAGCACACAGCACATCAAAGCAGGCTTCCTCTAATTGCAATTACTGCCTCCATAACCTGTTAGATAAATTGATTTATTGCTCAGATAAGCCTGAGGTCCGGCACGCTTCCCCATCGCGGGCCTCTGCATTCCAAAAATCCGATACTTCTGAGCATAGCAGAGTTGAGATCAACAGCGGCTAGAGGAAGCTGCAAAACACTCCAGTGCATTCTTCAGTGTGCTTAAATAAAGTCCACACAGGATCTTAGCAGCTAAAAGCAGTTTTATTTACAGCAGACTATCCATTATCTATCACAGCGAACAGCATCGCGAAAACACGTCCTCTCTCCTCAAAAGCGAAAGTAGAGAGAAAGAACAAAGACTTGAGTCTCTCGGAACTGATGTAGGAGTTCCCTCCCAACAGTAGGCAGAGCGTACACTCTGAGCTGTTTAACCCTGTAAGCTCAGGTTCTCTTCACAATTATCATGCCCCTTTTCAATGTATCAGAAAGTTACCGCTATGGAAGTGTTGCTAAAATACAAATTCATTGAAATTAAATTGGTTAATTGGTTGAAAAGGCAGGTTAATGAACTAAAAATTATTTGATTTGGTGACAGCCAAAACAAAAAATGCATTTTTCAGAGGAGTTTTATCATGGAACAACAAGAATGGCCAAGATATTTTCTTTTTTCTGTTTCGTTTATCCATAAGCCTGCATATATGCCTGCCAATAATAATAATAAAAATAAAAATACTCTTTCTTTTCTTTTTTTTTAAAGTAAGTTGATTGTCTGTGGCAATAATTCGATTTGGCCTTGCTCAGAATACAACCACATATCACTACTTTATATTCTGTTGCTTAGAAAACACTATAGTTCTAAATTCATTGAGTGAAGCTTACTCCCAAGTAATACGTTTTAAGATCATGGTGTAAGATAGAATAATGTTCAGTGCCAAATAAAAAGCAGTGTCTTCAGGAAAAAAAATAGCAATGTTTTAGTAACCTTCAAAAAGTTGATAGGTCTGTAATTATCCTACTGTCATTAGTCTTTTGATGCTTTGCAGATACACAATAATCTATGCAGATGTAAGATCATCTAAACCCTCTTTCTCAACTAATTAGTTGAATTTTTAACAGTTTTTTAAACATACAGCACCATTAGATGTAAGCCATAATCTATTTAACAAAATGAGATAAACTGTTCTATATAATAGGCTTGAGTGAGCTGACATGCTTAATTAGTTTTATCTATTTTACACAATAATCTATTTGTTCCACCAACTTACTGCACATTTATAATGCTGAAAACGATTACTGTGGCATTAGTAGTCTTTCCACTAGAAGTGGGGTATGACTCGGTCGAAGATTTAACAATGAATAAGTTTATTAGAGCTGAGGGAAATGGCTTTTTGCCATTGTAACTTTGTTTCATCCAAGCACAACACACTTGAAGGAAGTCTGCAATACCTCCCAGAGGCTTTTAAAAAAAGGGAAAATGAATAGACAGTTCTAATCCTTGGGAGCAAAGGAGCTTTACATCTCATAGACATGTGCTCCCCAAGCCTGGGGAAGCTCACTCACTCATTTTGGTCATTTTGTCCCATCAGCTGAAGTACAAGATGGTGGCCACCCCTCCCTAGTCCAAATGCTATCTAGAATGGTAGTTTAATCTTATTTAGGGACGAGGAAGAAATTTAAGTTCCCATTAAATATGAACCTACCAAATCCACACTTTCCCACCCAAACAAACTTTTTTGGGAAACCCTTTGGGAAATGAAAGAATGTTGGTCCTCCCCCCCCACACTCCTAGATCATCAGTCCATCACAAATTACTTGCGTAAGCCTATGTGTGGAATTGGGCTTAACATGCTAAAATCATAGGAAGCAGCCTCATACCATTTGTCCGTCTACTGTTTATCCACCAAGCTCAGTTTTGTATATACAGTCGTACCTTGGATCCTGAACGCCTTGTAAGTCGAACGTTTTGGCTCCTGAATGCCACAAACTCGGAAGTGAGTGTTCCGGTTTGCAAACGTTGTTTGGAACCTGAACATCCAACACGGCTTCTGATTGAGTGCAGGAAGCTCCTGCAGCCAATCGGAAGCCACACCTTGGTTGTCGAACATTTTTGGAAGTCAAACAGACTTTGGGAACAGATTCTGTTCGACAACCAAGGTATGACCAGCAGCGGCTCTCCAGATTCTAAGACCAAGGTCATCACGATCACCTACTATCAGATCCTTTATTAAAACAGGAGGTGCTGGAGATGAAACCTGGATCTTCTCCATGCAAAACATCTGCCCTAACACTCAGCTACGGTCTCTAGCGATATCCCTGGGAAACTGAGGAGCATAGAAAGCTACCTCATACTGAATCAGACCACTGGATGATCTAGCTCAATATCTACACAGACTGGTAGCTGTCCAGTGTTTCAGACACAGAAGTTTCTCAGTGGTAACTGGAGATGCACAGGGATTAAACTTGGGACCTTCTGCATGCAAAGCAGGTGTTCTGCCATTGAGCTCTTCCCCTGACTAAGGCTGCAACCCCATTTCTACTTGCCTGGTAGTAAGCCCCATAGAATTCAATAGCATTTATGCCTCAGTAGACACAGTTAGAAGGGACACGGATGGCACTGTGGGTTAAACCACAGAGCCTAGGACTTGCCAATCAGAAGGTCAGCAGTTCGAATCCCCGCAACAGGGTGAGCTCCCGTTGTTCAGTCCCAGCTCCTGCCAACCCAGCAGTTCGAAAGCACATCAAAGTGCAAGTAGATAAATAGCTACTCTGGCGGGAAGGTATACGGCATTTCCGTGCGCTGCTCTGGTTTGCCAGAGCTGTACGCCGGCTCCCTTGGCCAATAAAGCAAGATGAGCCCCGCAACCCCAGAGTCGTCCACGACTGGACCTAATGGTCAGGGGTCCCTTTACCTTTAGACACAGTTAGGCGTGTGTTGTAAACCTCTCCTGTTGACACTGGTGGCATTAAAAAAATGTTTGACTTTCGGTGGGATCATTTCTCAAAAGAGCAGTACGTGTTTCTCTTAGAAGCTGCAGTGATGATTCTGTGGTACAAGCTACATTTCACAAGCGACACTGCTGGTTTTTCTTATGGTGCTGTGACTCCAGAACCCTTCTGGAAAGCAATGCCACTATGAATTTATATTTCCACCTACTCAGTAACAGGGAGATTGAGTGCAGATTCATTGCTTGGAAGCAGAAGCCCCTGGGCTCCACAATCATGTTGACTAACATATCCATTGCCCTTTCTCCTTTCACTCTTGCACTCCCATCTCTGGTGTGTGTTCTCACCTTATTTCACCCCTCACATTTTCCCAGGCAGAAGCCCTCCTCCTTTCCCTTTTTTCACACTCTGGAGTGTCTTTCCAAATCAGTTTCTTCTTCCACCACAACAGTCAATTGGTCATTCCAGGAAGACTTTAAATCAACGGTGCTGCATTCGGCAATTAAATTCTGTCTCCTCAAAACTTCAAGAATTTGTTAGTGTTTCTATCCAACTAACAAAAAATGCTGGGGGTGAGGAAATAGTATCTTTCCCCATGAAATTCTCTCTGTAAAACAGTTAGCTTAAAGCTTTCAGCACCACCCCCAACCTGACCTGTTGTATGCACCAATTCAAGCTCAATAATCTTGTTGTTTTAGCCAAAATGCTAATCATCTGTGCTTTGCACTACAACATGAAATTCCAGCTCTTGTCGTAAGAGGATTCCTTTCCACAATCTATTTGCCAGGCAAAAATTGATCTGCTAAAACTACTTCATGGCGACTTCACCATCTAAAAAAGTAGCATGTGAATCAGCAGTCATCGATCATGAGGTTTTTTTGTTTTTTGTTTAATGAAGGAGAGCCTCTCATTCTTTTACCATGATTTTAATGTTACTTAGACCCTATATGCCTGAACAAATAAGGATTCAAAGTCTGAAGAAGAGTTGGGGGTACAGAAGCCCTGCCCCAGTGTTGGCTCCTCTAAGGTTCCTCTCAGACTTTCTCATAGACTTCCAGCTGAAGGTACTTAGAAGCTGTCATGTGATCAGGAATATTGAGTCCCATGAAGGCTGATGCCCTGCCCTGCTACAAGCCACCATTTTGAATTTTCCCCAGCACCACAAGGGTCCAGCTCTGGGATGTTGTTGGAATTTTTTAAAAAACAGTGGCTAGGTGGGAGCCAAGGGAGAGTATTTTGGCAGGGGTCTCCTTAAACATGGAGCTGGCCATTTATACTTGGTGGAGACATTATATTATTGTTGTTGTTGTTGTTGTTGTTGTTATTAGCTGGCTATCTGACTGGGTTGCCAGAATCAGCTACTTTACACAAAGACATTCACATCCATATGTAGAATGGGCCTTCCCACTGTAAAGGTAAAATGCTTGACCAGGTAACTGCAAGGCTTCTTTAAATGTCATGTAAAACAATATTTATTTATTTTTTTAAAAAGGGGGGACGAGAGCTGGAATCTAACAATGATTTATGCTGGCTTTGTTTTCCCATTATGGGCAAAGCATTTTGCTTTCTCAGCAGGATGCCCCATGAACTTGTAAATGAGGGTGGAATTCCTTTCTTTCCCTCTGAGCATATCTACACAGAGAGGCTAGTAATATAGCAAACAGGTGTGGCTGTTTTTTTCATCCTAACAAACGGCCGCGTCATGTTTATGTGCTTGATAAATAATGAATGGCACTTTGCTTAAAAGACAAACAAGCATATTTTCCATCAGCTGACTGATGACTCCAAATAGCGTTTCGAACATGTTTTTCAAAGGGAAGCCTTCAGGTTGAGGAATGAGATGAAGATAAACTGCTTCCCAGAATGAGAAAAGTTGCCTCTTTGGCCACTTTGTCGACTCATGGAATTATTTGCATTTGATAAATGCGTTCCCTTCAGAGCGTAAGATAAAATCATAAATAGGCAATGAAACAGTGGCTGGGCTCGGCGAGAGAGATCCAGATGTGTAAGCAGCCCCGGGCAATGGGAAAACTGCACGTTCACATCTGGATTCATATGGCAACACCCCATGGAGTCTCCAGATGCATCTGTTGAGGCAAAGGGCAATGCATATTGGAAGACATTGGTTGTTATGCCAGACTAGTTGCCTGTAGCTTTCTATTCATGTATTTATTTCATCACATTTTTATTCCACCACACTTCCAAGGAATTAATGTTTCTCCACCTCCCTTTTTCTCTCTGTCTCAGAGAGAGAGAGAGGAGAAACAAGCCCAGGGTGACCCAGTGAGCTTCAACTGCAGCTAAATCAGAGCCTGGGGGTGGAGGACGTACATTAATTCCGTGTCCTTCTTGTTGCTCAGATCTTTTGTGCCAGTTTTTTGTGTTTTTTTAAGCCTGCAATACTACAAAACTCAAGCCGAGGAAAGTAAGATAAATAACAATTAGCCATCTTTTCTTTGTAGAAGCACCATCTGTGCAATGCCGGCAATCACAGGGTGTTAACGAGAGCCGTTCATTTACCCACTTTGCATTCAATGCAGAATTGGCACTGTTTGATAACGAATGCACCCCTTTTGTTTAGCAATCACGATTCATTGTGCTTATAATTTAGCGATCACAGTGTTCTTAAGCTCTGCTAATTAATGTTGCAGCTGCATTCCGAGATTATGCAAGAAATATATTTCTAGTTATAATGAAGTTCTTTCACAGCTTCTCCCACCAGAAGAGAATTGGTTTTAACCATTTTACAAGCTTGCTTGGAGTGGGTCCTGTGTAGTAATAGAACTCATTAATTGCCTTCTCACAAAGGGAACTTTTGTGTGTTACACACTAACAAATCTGGGTTTGCTCCCAGAGGACCACAAAGACAGAGGGCACCTCTTGCTAGCCATCTGACAAGTGTGCATGTATGTGCACGATGCACATACTGTACACTTCCATTTTCCATAGTCACACTTTACATTGTTAAGTTTACATTTTTTTAAAAATAGATGCCTAAGTAACTAAATATGTGGCAAAGCCTTAAGAGAAAATGTTCTCCCTCTTGCAGGGGTGCCAACTTGAATAAAATATTATGGGGGCCCAGGTAGGCCCCGCCCAATGCAATTGATTACATAACGCAGTTTATACACAACATTTGAATGGGAATGCCCACAAAGTTTGTGGGGGCTCAGCCTCCTCAAATATTTTATTGTGGGGGGGTCAAAGCCCCCACATCCCCTGGGAGTTGACTCCTATGTCCCCTTATTATTGCCCCCAGCGTATCCCTATATGGGTTAATCCAATTTGGGGAGATTTACGTTGTTGCTGTTGATAAGCAAATGCAATTGGAATGGGCAGTGCATTAAAGGAATTATTTTTGCTAAGCTCTTATTAAATCCTACTGACCACCCATTGTGAGTCTGGAGTTGGGGGGAGCCAAGGCTTCTCCATTGACCAGGGCTGTCTTTACCTGGGGGTGCAAGGGGTGTGGGGCACCTGGGCGTTGAAATCTGGCGGGCGCCAGGCACCCGCCGCTGAAGCCGCCTAAGCTTATTGTGTTGAGCTGCTATGCGCCAGTGGGGTCAGTGACACCTTGGACACGACTGATCTTGCACCGCCTGCCTGCTAATGCTGCTGCAGGGAGAGCTTTCTGGAAAGTCTCGCTCACCAAAGCCAGGAGGAGGGGGAGTGACAGGAAAGAGGGAGAGACAGACAGAAAGAGAATGCGCCTTTCTAGCGATGGGAGCATGCACAGGCTACGGAAGAAGAACTCGTATACGCGTGCTCACGAGGGCCCTCCCAGCTCCTCTAGAAATAAGGTTGCCCCCACAATGAATGGCTGCCCAAGACGGCTCTCCCACACATTATTTATTTTTTATTTTATTTTATTTATACCCCACTCTCCCTGGCCAAGACTGGGCTCAGGGCAGCTAACATCAGGTATAAAAACAATTGATTAAAATAGAACTTAGAAACAAGATTAAAATACTACCTAAAATGCATCCTCATTTCAGTGGAAGCCCAGATCAAAAACTGGGGAGAAAAAAGTCAGATCTTCACCAAGGCCAACTATCTAGACTGGTCCTACGTGGGCCAGAAAAGCCAGGGAAGTCCCCAAATAGGGGTTCCATCACAGAAGGAAAGGGAAAGAGAGGGAGGGGATCAGGCTGGTTCCAAGCCAAAGGCCAGGCAGAACAACTCTGTCTTATAGGCCCTGCAGAAAGAAATCAGATCCCGCAGGGCCCTGGTCTCATGAGACAGAGCGTTCCACCAGGCCGGAGCCAGTGTTGAAAAGGCCCTGGCTCTGGTTGAGGCTAATCTGACTTCTTTAGGGCCTGGGACCTCTAGGGTGTTGCTATTTATGGACCTTAAGGTCCTCCACGGGGCATGCTCACAATGCCCGCTCATCTCATCTTTCAGACACCCCCCTACGACCGTAAGCACATGCTTGGAGTCTTTACACCGACTCCCAATGTGTTCTTTGTCTTCTTTGGAAAAGCTGGTTTTAAACAAAACACACACAGAAAACTCCTTTTGGAGCCATGCAGGCGTGAGTGCTATTCCTCAAATGATAATAGTG